ATATTAAGGGGAAGTTTGATTTGTTAGAAGTGGTTGCAAATCTTTATATGTACATAATTTCTTTCTTAGTGAACTTGTAATTAAAAGTTATAGGTGTTAGAATCGATTAAGAATGAAGGTTCGAGATCACAAGAATAAAATTAATATTCCAAGACATCTACTTTTGACTATGAGGAATATTGAGAAACTAACTGTGACTACTAGCGGTGTTCTTCCAAATATCCGTCTGATTTTGTTGCCTACGAACACTTCATGTTGGTAATAAAAAAGTTTTATTAAATCCATTTGTATAAAATTATACCTTCTCAATATACAACCAATAGTATTTTAAACATTTTTATGTTTATGGTAATTTGCAATTATAAGATGAATCTTAAGAACATTTAGTTTTAATTTTACCTTTTTATTAAATACTCCTTAAATCTTTATTAATTAGATAGAATTAAAATAATCCAAACAAATGAATAAGCATATGACTATAATTAACCCCAAATGTTTGTTGTTTATGAGCATTTTCCTTCTCATAGAAAGAGGGAAAATATTTAAATAAATTATTCATAAATTTTTTAATATCTTTTATGACCGCGCGAAGCACGGATAAGTTTACTAATATATATATAAAGGAGGGAATGAAAAAGGTGACTTGACACATCTTTTTAGCCAAGGATTCTATTTATCTTTTTTCTCCTTTTTTTGCCTTTTTCACTACTTTTTTAGTTGTCTAATAATAAGATATATTGTATAATTATAAGAACTCATTTATTACAAAATACTAAGAATTTAATTATAGCTCCATAATGAGTAAGCGAAGAGAGACAACTTCAGTTTTAAAACGGAAAGAGTTCCGTTTTGGACTTAGCGAAGGAAGAAAATTACAACCTTCTTTATTTTCTCAACCATTACAACCTTCTTTATTTTCTCAACCATTACAACCTTCTTTATTTTCTCAACCATTACAACCTTGCTCCATAATAAAAAAGAATGAAACAATAGTCTTCCTTTCATCCTCCTCCTATTCAATCTTTTCTTGTGATGAATGAAAACTCGGCGGCGAAACTTCTATTAAGCTATAATTATCTACTTTCCTAATCAATATATTTTTTATTATACGTTGAGATGAGAATATGTTGGTTTCTCATTTGATACCCCCATCAGTGCCTTTACAATAGAAAGAAATTATTGGAGGAGAAGAAGTGACTGTGGAAGCTCCAACGGAAAAGCCCATGGATTGTCTGAAGCTTCATGTTTAGTTGGTGTTAGATTTTTAGGTTTTTCTATTTAAGTTTCGATCTGTGTTTTTTTAATTTTTCTATCACGGGACTTATAATTATTTTCCTCGACTTGTGTCATAGTCGTCGAAGGCACTAAGGTTCAAGGAGCAAGAGGACTTGGTCCTTGCACAAGAATTGCGGATGCAACTCGATATCCTTCAATAGACGATAGGACACAGTTGGTGCCGTTTGATTTTTTCCATAATATTTGTCTCAAGAGACAAAAAATTCTTCATATGAAGTTTTTAACAATTGTAATAGGTAATTTATCCATTTTTGTACTTCATAGCAGAATCACGACAATATGTTTATTACTAAAAATATGATTTTTTTTTTTATAAAAATTAAGAAATTATAAATTAGTCTTGTCACCATTTACAATTTAAAATTGTAGCATCACAAATTTGGAGTGCTTGGTTAGACATCTTTTATTCGCCACTAATTATATGAAGAAAATATCTTGAAACATTGTAAAAAAGAAAGAGGAACAAAAATCCTAAAATATTTGGTTAAAGTCTTTACTCCACACTAATAATGTGAAAAGGGAAAAATGTTATCTTTGCACTGATCTTGTAGGATAAAAGAAAGAACAAAAAGGAACCCTCCGTGTTTATGATAAATTGCCGATAGGAATGATTTTTTCCTTCTCATTTTTCAAACTCAATGCTTCAATGTTCAGGCTTGGAGCTCTTTTCTTTTCTTTTTTTTTCGTCTGAAGGATTACTTTCCTGGAAATTTTAGGATGGAGAACAAAATTTTTAAATTTTGCTGCACAGAATTAGAGGAAGGAAGTGGATATTTGTGTGTATTAAGGAGGAGCATAGTTTAAGATTTTTTGGAGTAACCGGGGAAAGAGGGGAGAAAATGAACGGAAAGAGAAGAAAAAAGAAAGCCCATAAAGGAAGTACCAATAGTAAATTAGGAGAAAAGGGAAATATTAAGAAAAATTTAGAGGGAAAAAACTACTTTCGGAAAATAAGAACTTATTTAAGGGATGAAAAATTGAGGGGGATTACAGAGTAGAATATGAATAGAAAGAAAAAGAAGAAAAAAAAAATTTGGAATAGCAAAAGAAAGAAAAGCAAATATTCATGTACTATGGATTTAATATATACGGTCATACTTATAGTGAAATATTGTTATAGAGAATATATGAAAATCAAATCCAAAGAATACTATGACAAGTTTGTAAAATGATGTTATAAAGAGAATCATGTGATAAAACAACATAGTCACTATATTCCTCCAAAAAATTATTTTCCTTTTTATGAGAAAATAAATAAAGAAAAATGCAGTTCATCCAGTTTTATTTGTTTGCGGCGCATATACAATCAATATATAGAATAAAAAATTTGCCTGCATATACATGAAAAAATTATTTCTAAATTCATTGATATCTTTCACCAATTCTAAAGTGAATAAAATTCCACAAAAAAGATCTCTTTTTTTTTTTTTAATTTTATTTCATGAGAAAATACAATTCATTAAAATGGAGCTCATATGTTCGTGAGCACATATACGTCAATATATGGAACTAAATTTTTGCCTGCATTTACATGATATATTTATTTCTTCTATTTTGACAAAATTTATATATTATAAATTAATTTGAAATTCATTTATTTCTTTTATAATGGCACGAAGCCCGGGCCTAGTTATGTCATAAACACTGGGTGCGCAGGTATTTATCCTTTATATAAGGGGAGGAAACAATCACTTGTCATTACTAAACTGACGTGAATTCAAATATGTGGACTCAATCCTATTCCCAGTATGAAACAGGACCAAACTTCTATTCCATCACTAACATCTTTCACCATTTTTGCAACTCAAAGAATCTGAGAGCCATTAAAGTATTTCATGCACATCTAATTAGAACAGGATTACTCTTTATCTCCCCTAACTTTCAATTCAAACTCATATCTACTACATGCACAACTACTTCACTTCCCAATGGTAATAACCTTAAAACCTTAATCAACTTCTTCAAATTCCTCAAACCCAAAAACTCTTTGCTCTTAAATTCAATTCTTTCCCATTTTTCACAAAATGGGTTTCATTTTCTTGCTCTTAAAACATTCTCTTTCATGCATTTTAGTGCTATCGACATTGATTCATACACCTTGTGTAGCTCCATTACAGCTTCATCTGCTATTAAAAATGTAAACTTTGGGCAAATGGTTCATACCCTTGTGCATAAATCAGGTTGGATTTCTAGTGTTTATGTGGGGTCTGCTTTGATTGACATGTATGCCAAATCGTTGTGTATCAAGAACGCAGCTGTGTTGTTCGATGAAATTCCTGTGAAGAACACAGTGTGCGTGAACGCGCTTCTTTCGGGCTATTCTGAAGCTAAGATGTGGATGGAGGGGTTGGCATTGGTTAGGAACATGCCGTGCTTGAATCTATCTTGGGATAATTTCACTTTTTCAGCTGCTTTGCGTGCTTGCGTTGGGCTCTCTGCATTTGAATTGGGTAAGCAAGTTCATGGACGTGTTATTCGAAAACTTCATGACTTGGAATCTGATGTTTTTCTTCAAAGTTTGTTGATTGAAATGTATGGCAAATGTGGGTCAGTGGAGAAGGCTAGGCATGTATTCGACATGGTCGGCTTTAGATGTGGAGAAAGAAAGAAGGATGTTGTTCTTTGGACATCAATGCTTGGTGTTTGCGGAAGAAATGGGAAATTTGAAGAAGTGATTAATTTGTTTAATAACATGGTGATGGATGGAATTAAACCAGATGGTGTAGCATTGTTGACTGTTCTCTCCGCTTGTAGTCACACTGGCCACGTAAATCTTGGAATGAAGTACTTTGAATCAATGGCATCTAATTACAGTTTGGAACCCAGCCCCGAGCACTACAGTTGTGTGATTGATTTACTGTGTCGTGCAGGTGAGTTGGATAGAGCATGGAAACTAATCAACGAGTTATCTTACAAAGATAATGATAATTTCACTGTTACCTTGTGGGGAGCCTTGCTTAGTGCCTGCCATAACTTTGACAATGTCGAACTAGGTATAGTAGCTGCTCAAAGGGCATTGGATTTGGACCCTCAAAATGACGGGGTTTATGTTCTGCTATCGAACATGTATGCCAGGAATGGCATGTGGAATGAAATTGAGATGTTGAGGGAACAGATAAAAGAGAAGGGATTAAAGAAAGACATAGGACATAGCTTGGTGGATATCTGTAGATGAGATAAAAGCAATGGTCAGAAATACGCCACATTCTTCTTCTCATGGATTCTGTAGCTAAAAGAAATGTTTTATGAGGTATTACTGGCACAGATTGTGAGGGTCCTTGATTATTCTCGTTGTGTAAGATAGATTGCGACAAGTGATTAGAGCATACTATAAGTGCAGTTATGATGTTCAAGGTGGTTCACACATGGAGTGCTCCTACAAGTGTGTAGCTGAAGTTAGATTTTTCAAAGACCATGTTTCAATGTGGACTAGTTTCTTATGTGCGACTGCGGGCATTTAAAGCAGTAGAGTACGGGGAGTAACCTTTACATCCAAATATTCCAGGACAAAGGAAACCAAAAATATTCATCAAATTGACATGAAGCTAAATAAGGAGCTCGCTGGGGCAGAGGAGTGCCTCTTCCATCTCAATGAAGAGCTACTTGGAAGAAACCTTTACTCTGGAGACGTTCTTCAAATTCAATTTTCATTGAAGCTCTTAAAAATTATGTTGGACTTGAGGGGATGAACCGATTTCTTATTTGTGAAGTGACAACAGAGAAAGAGGATTTGGGCTGTGCCATGACTTTGATATGCTCGGACTTAATGAGCAACGTAAGGAGAGTCTATAGCAGTTAAAGATGATGGAATTACAGGTGGGCAGGGAGGAGGAAGGAATTAGAGGAGATAAAGAAGAAACTATGGCAATTCAATGTTAAAATCTGTGGGACACGCTAGTCGCCAGGGCTGCATGAAGCGCACAAGATGGCAAGAACTAGCTCATCTGGAAAAGTAACCATAATTCTTTATAAGTTTCCTCATATTTGAAGCATAAAGGTTACAACTAAATATCAGGAAATGGCTTTAAGTTTCTTCATATTTGAAGCATAAAGGTTACAAAATAATATCAGGAAATGACTTACTCTTAGTTCTTAACTTCATGGTCAGGAATCAAATGAAATGGGTCCTAATAAGAGACCCACTGACATATAAGGCACAGATGAGCCATGTGAAAGGAAGTCCAAACCATATTCAGTGATACGAAATATCCTTGCCTCCTCAGTGAAGGATGAATTTATTGCTCGTTTTTCGTCATTGTGCATTGAGATTCAGTTGCTAAGTTGTGGAATGACTGGAGGATAACTAATAGTTAGAAAAGCTTTAAAACAATGACAATGGAAAAGTTGTGGAATCTGATAGTTATGCATGTGTAAAGTGAGCCTTGTGGTTCAGTTGAACATGCTTGGCTTTCACGGTATATCAAAATGGAATTCATGAAATAAATTGGGTAAGATCTTCTATAACAATGCATCGACTATCGAGATGGAAAATGAGCTATGTTGTTTGAAGATTTCCAGATATCTTCAAGTATAGTACCATCACCAATGCATATTTCATCAAAATAAAGATTGTACCTCAAAGGTTTTTCGCTGTGACATGGTTTATGTATATAGTATGATAATCTGAAGATATTTACTGATGGTTTATTTCGCATCTGGAGGTGCAAGTTCATACTGCAGCTCTCAGAAGGTAGTTGAGCTTGATAGATGGACAGCACCTGCAATTGAAACCTGCCTCTGATTGTGAATTTATTATAACTATATGTACCGTAATTTTCGTCACTCTGCTAAGTGCTCTGATGTACGAGGTCTTTTCACTTTTATCCTGATACAGTTTTACTGCACCACAGGGAGTCGTGGGAAAGAATTACAGTTTTACTTCAAAATGGCCCAGGAGTTGTGGCGGGTGCTCATCCATTGCAGAGGTGGATGTACACAAAGGAGGTGCTGCACCTGCAGATGACACAATGCCCATCCGATGTGGCTCAGAAGTAGCGTGGAGAGCAGTCCAATAGATTTAGAAGTTCCAGAAATGCTCATCTCATGTAGGAAGGTAATAGAGTGCACAGGGTCTCAACTGAGCTCTTGTAAAAACGAACAATTGAAAGCATAGTTGGAGAGATTCAAAGCTGTGACAATAAGGTATGAATAGAAAGCCGTTTTACATTGTTTTCCTAAATTTCGGGTGATTGTGCATGTACTATCTACGGTCTTCTCAACCTACTTAATTGCTGCTAGCTTGTGCTTTTGTTTGTTCCGAACCGGATGTGAAATCCTAATCCTTAACATTTGCAGAATTTGCTGTGGGTCCAAAGAGTATTTTCCTCGGCCTATCTATTTCAACCATCCTTATATCTGCTCTCTCTCTATATATACAATATATACATATATCTGTCTGTGTAAATATTTTTGGCTTAGAAACTGAGGCTTCTTGTACTTAGGCCACGTCATATGGGTACCTTAAAACTCTTCCGAAAACAAACTACGTTGGATGGTTTATCATGACATCATTTCTCTTAATTTTGGGNCCAAAAAACCAAAAAAAAGAAGCTTTCTGCATGTGCGGTGGTAGATTATCTGCTTGGTTTAATCCTGATACATTTTAGTTAATAGAAAACCAATTTCGATAGCCTTTGCAGTAATTCGTGGATTCTTATAGTAGTCAGTGCTAGTGAAAAGAAAGCCAACTCCAAATGGTTGACACTCCCATAAATGTGAAGATTCTGTGTTTGAGTTCAATTTTTCGTCTGTTGCTTGGCATTAAGTTTATCATTTATAGAAATTACTAAGATAAAATATCAAGGAATGTGTCCCAGGTAGACTGTTAGACTTGATGAATTATAGGACCATCTACAATTTGGATGAGGCAATTAGAGCATATGAATGATGTATAGCATTTAAAGGTAGTTTCAAAGTTGTTGGGGCTGATATAACAGGGCTTTACAATAGTCTTTACTAAAGGCAGCCCGGTGCACTAAGTTCCCGCTATGCGCGGGGTGCAGGAAAGGGCGGGACCATAAGGGGCTGTTGTACGCAGCCTCACCCTGCATTTCTGCAAGAGGCTGTTTCAACGGCGCGAACCCTTGACCTCCTGATCACTTGACAATAACTTTACCAGATACGCCAAGACTCTTTAGTACTGGAGTAAAACATTTTTGAAGGGACAGGCTTCAAGAGTAACATGGCATTCATGTGCTATAGAGAAGCCTCAGTCACCATCAAACTCCAAATAGAAGAAAATTGTGGTACATAATTAGCTTTAGGCACATTCTTTTATTATTTTTGTCATTCTTTTTGTTTTCTTTATCCACACTCATTATTTACTTGGAGAGACACTCTTGATCAATCTTGTGTACATTCGGTTTTCAGCTACCTGGATCTGGTCCTTTCTCTTTCCTGCATGTGAGCTTCTAGTTGTTGTGTAATTCAGTGTATAGATAATGACAAACTAAAGAGACAAGAAGTACAACAAAACAACAACAGATCCAGGGCAATTCCACAAGTGAGGTCTGAAGACGATAGTGTGTACGCAAACCTTACCCCTACCTAGTGAAGATAGAGAGCCTGTTTCCGAAGAAGATCCTCGGCTCAAGGAAAAAGAAAAAAGGGGGAAAAATCAACAAATAATAGAAATCTATGAATACGAGAGTACAAGACTAATACTACTACCTATTGGTACAACATAGAAATACGCTCGACTACCTGCTAACCTTTTACCCTAATTCTCGACCTTCACGCCCTCCTATTAAGGGTCATGTCCACGGTAAGTTAAAAAGACAAGTGTCATTTTTACAAATGTTTTTTCTTGCTTCTGAAAACATTGCTACTTCTGCATTGTGAATATTACTCATTTTTATTGCACTCTCAATTTCAATCAATCAACTAATACTAGAATCCGAAAATAATTGTAGTTATCTCAGAGGATTCGTCATAATTAGACTTTTTTATACCGTTCCCTTCCTTTCTCTACTCCCTAGTTATGGGAGAATTGGAGAATTAAACGTTGGAGGGGATTCCAGTTTCTTTATTGATGGGTATAGTATGGTTGGGAGTTTACTTGCTTTTTCCTTCTTTGGCCTTTGAGGGAAGGATGTAATTTTGTCCTTTGGAAAGGACTTTAAAGGGCGAATCTGATTATTTTCTTTCTNAACCAAATAAGACAGAAATGCTGGAGGCAACTGTAGTTTAAACTGATAGCTCTGGGGATCCTTTTTTGAGCCTTAGAACATGCAAAGAGATACTAGAATCGTAAACAGCAAACCACCCCCCCCCTCCCCCACCCACACACATTATTGGAGCTGAAGATTTTTCCTTTTCTTTGTTTTGGTTGGTTATTGTTGGGGTTGGATGCAGATATAGATGGAGCCTTGTTTAATGGGTTCAAAAAAAAAAAGTACTCTACGGAGAGCATAAATATATATATATATATTAAAATTTGAACTCTTACTTAAAATTTATACTTCAAATTTAAATTCTAAATCAGCATGTGGTCGGTCGGGGGAGAATATATCCGTGGTGCATATCGGAGTTGGAGTGTGCTCACTGTCTGATAACAGTGACTGTTCTGCAAATGGTGCTGCTGTAATCTGCATTGGTCCTCTCTTGGAGGACCATTTACAGATCTCAATCCTATCTTATATTTAGTGACTTAAAAATGTTTGGTTTCTCTCTTGTTACGTCAAGAATCAACAGCAACATATTGAGCTATTCCCAACTCCAAACAGTTCGCAAAATATGTAGTCCCTCTGTTTCAATTTATGTGAACATATTTCCTTTTTAGTCATTGTAAAAAAGAATGACCCCTTTCCATATTTGAAAACAATTTATCTTTATGCGATGATTTATAAATTCAAAAGTTTTTTCTTTTTTTCTTAAACTCCGTGCCTAATCAAATAGGTTCATATCAATAGAAACAATGGGAGTAACGTATATCACCTATCAAAAACAAATCGAGCTCTAAACAGGTGTTGAGCTCGAGTTAAGTCTCATTTTTATTAGTGTAATAAAAGTACACCTTCACCTTAAACTGACTTCTTTGGGAAATCCCTTTTAGTTTATTGGAATATGCTTAATTTACGCTTAAGTTAAACACACACACACACTCATAAATTTTCTTAGTTCTTGGTAATGAGTAAATAGTTTTTAAGATGGAAGTACAAGTTAATTTCTAGATTAACACGAAAAATCTTGAGTGGTAGGACAGAGAGATTGAATGTATCTCTTGTGTAACATAAAACTGCGAATAACGATATGACTGTGTACGGAAAGAGTCAAAATTGAAAAGTCGATGTGCACTTGCATTTCTGCCAAAAATCTAGACCAAAAGAAAAACAAAATTACAGCAATATATAGTTTCGTTTTCAGTTTAACTTATATACTAATAACATTTTACTATAAAAATAATTGAACTTAGTGTAGTGATTTGTCTACTTTATTTGTTGAATAACTAGTTTTAGTTATTATGGACAATTACCAATAACCCTTTTGGCTATATCTTTTACTTTTAAGAAATGCCTAAAAGTGACTGTATTTTCTGTCAAATTTTTGTAGAAGAATAAGAAACTAAAGTTACTCTTATATATTCAAAAACATAAAATAAACGCCAATGTGATGGGATGAATTAAGAAGATTTTATTCGGAGGTTTCAAGTTCGAACTTTTGAGGATAGAGAAATTCTTGGTAGGAAACGTTTTTACTTTAACTGGGCCCTATGCGGCGTAAATTTGGATTAGTTGGGCAAGTGGATCATCCACCCTTAGTTAGAGGTTTCACGTTTAGACCCTCGGAATAGAGAAATTCCTATTAGAAAGCACTTTCCCTTAAATGAACTTTATGCAATACGAATCTAGATAAATCGATCAATATGTTCCCAAACGGAAAAACATAAACAAAAGAGAAATGAAGGATGTCGAGCCCTCAGTCTGGAGTCACTTTTGGTAGGGAGCGTTTTACTTCCCAAAATGGAATTTTCTTGCACAAATCTGAATTCGTTTCGTCCCAATGCAGATACTGGACACTAGTTGAAAAACCAAGAAAATTGAAGGCGGCATAACAGGAGCCACAGAAGTAGATATGAAGCAAAAAGTGAACCGCTATTTATTAGGAAAAGAAAAATTCAACAGAAGCTGAGACAGAATGATGGAAATGGAAACAAATACCATTAAAGTCTGGATGTTGAAACTTGCAACCATCCTTTGGCAGTGAAAGACATGTCTCTGGACATCATAAATATCGTTTACCAAATACACCACAGCACAAACCGAAAGTTAGACCAGAATAGAATTCAAATTCAATGTTCCAAAACCTATACTACTTGAAATAAAATCCAAAAAAAGAAAAAGAAATTAAACTTAGAATGACAAAGAGAAATGGGGCCTCTTTGCCATAAGGAGGGCCAGCATACAAAATGTAAACCCAATGGGTTTTGGCCCCCACCTTGTCCTTTCTCTATTACACATACATCAACATATCTTGTGTTTTCTGTCTTGTGCAGAAACATGTTATAGTTAGGATTTTGAATAATAGATACATAGTATTATTGTATACCTTACTCTTCTGTAACGATAATTCTATGTACTTACAGAATATAATTTTTTCCAGTATCAAACTATACTACTAAAAAACTGCTTAATTTCGTCCAAGAAAACCGATCGAAATCGGTCGGAAATTGTAAAAAATCGACCGATTTCCGACTGCTTTTAATTAGTCAAAAAAATGATGGTCGCTAACATGTTGCCAATGAAATCGGTCGATATTTTCAAAGCGTTGACTGACTGTCAAACATCATTTACCAACCGAAATCGATCGGTAATAATAATTTTTTTAATTTAACGGTCGGTATTTCAAATAAATAATAATTTTATTTATAAATTGTTTATTTATTTAAATAAATGAATTTAAATTTATTTAATTTGAAATTCCCGACCGAATTCGGTTGGAAATTTTGAATTTCTGGGCCAAAAGAAAAATCCGACCGATTTCGGTCTGCTTTTTGGGTAAAAACCGGGCAGAAAATGTCTATTTTTAAGCTACACCACCTGCCAATTACAACCAATATCTATCCTATAATGGCAGCATTATATTGCTGTCATTCAACCATAATTAATCAACAACAACAACAACAATTAACTAACAACAATTATCTAACAACAATTATCTAACAACAATTATCTAACAATAACAACAACAATAATTAACCAACAACGCTAATAACAACGACAACAACAATGCTAATAACAACAACGCCAAGCACAACAATAACTAGACAAATGTTCAATAACAAAATAATGTCAACAAACAATCATCATTCAAAACTAGTCCCAACTAAATGTTGACAAGTTCAATACTTTGTTTAACAATACACACCATTCAATGAGTGTTTTATATTGCATCATCTCCATCTTCACTACTAGAACCTTCATCTTCGGCATGGTTCGAAGGATCACGACGAGAAGGATTAGCACATGGGAAGGTGCAGGAGACTGGGAATGGGGAAAGCACCACTAG